AAGCAAAAAAAGCTAAGGCTATTCTTTAAGGTTCCATCAAATACCAAAAAGGACTTACGATTTTTACTGCCAAATTCCATAAGTTTCTGCATCTGACTAGCACTTCCAACAATGATTGAGATCAAATTCTTCACATATACACCAACGTCCGCTTTCTCCTGAAAATGAGTTGCTAAATCTCTGATAGAGTGCTGGGTTGAGATTTATCTGATTACATTTCTAAATCTCAAGCTGCTTTTTTTGGCTCGAAAAACTTTGAAAAGTGAAATTTGTAACTGCGAGGAAAAAGCGCAAAGAATAAATCAAAAAAGCTTAAGATAGAAAAGTTATACTAGTGCGAGCAAGAGATAGTGAAAAGACTTGATGCTTTGATCAAAGAAAAGAAAACTAACTTTGATTTCAAGGTTCGACCCGTGTCCATCTTTGGCTAACAAGTCACGCAGCTCCTCATTGTAGATCTCCAGATATGACACACGAACGAGAAAACTAGAAACTGACTACATTAGCCAGCTAGCAAAAAGCAAATCGTTTATACTCACGTTTTGTCTTGTTGACATTTTGCGATATGGTCAAAAATGTGAGCGAAAGAGTTCGGTATTATTCCCTGTAACTCAGCTCTTTCCAAATCTCCGGTCATGGTGAATGTTTTCCCTGTGCCAGTTTGTCCATATGCAAAAATAGTCCCTACAACAAAATAGTCCCTACAATAGTTGTGAAGGTTATGCAGAACAAGAACGTTTCATAAAGGGGCACGGATTAACCCAAACGGCTTCATTAATATAACAAATTTGAGTGAACAATTTGCTCACCGTTATAGCCTTTTAGCACATTTTCCACGATCGGTCTTGCAGCAACATTGTAGACTCGCATTTGATCGCAGTCAGGAGGAAAGACAGCATCAAAGAAAAAGGTTCTCCGGGGCTCCTAAAGGTTTGTTAACGGGCAGTTTATTTCAACCAGTTGAGTAATGCACGCACCATACTTGATCTGCTTGATCCACTAGATTGCTTGATCCGCTTCGTCATCAGTGAACTGATCTATAGTGAAGTGGATGAAGTGGACCAAACGGAATAGGAACCGCTTGCTACTGGTCAGTTCACTGCATTCACCAATGACGAAGCGGATAAAGCGGATCAAGTGGATAAAGCGGACCAAGTGTGTCGCGTGCCCAACAAGGGAATGGTCAAAAATCGAAGAAAGCCAACCGAGACAAGCTGCATACCATTAGATGCAGCATAAAACGCT